GATCATTATAATTTCTAAACTAAATTATTTGAGATTTACATTTAAACGAGCTTTGATCATATGAAAGATATTTGTCATAACCAGTAAGCATGACACATGAACCAATTTTAACATTCATGTAATTATATAATTAAAGACATGTTAGTTACATTCTGTTTGTATTTGATAATACAATGCTACTAGTGATTGCTATATAGCACCTTGCGAAAAAATAATAGTCAAGTGAAATGCCTAATAAACATTTATGGCATTAAGCTGTCCTAACTGCAAATTTTCACTCTGATAATTTTGCTTAATCTTTGGCAGAAAAAATTTTTGGTTTTTCTCAAAAGGTGAATTTGCTGGCACTGATGTGGAGATGGGTAAAGGGTTACAATAAACTTGCATGGTTTGAAGTCTGAGCTTTTCTATATCTATGAACTGTCACTTGTAGTACCAAATATCTAATAACTCATTACATAGAGGTTTGAATGGGGTCTCTAGGGGGTCTATGCCTGACAACTTGGTAGAAATTTTAAAGACTGTATCTGTTTTTGAATAGCATTATTGTAAAATAAATTTTACGTTCTAGACATGCTAATGAGCCATATATTTGGCATGATAATGAGCCTAGATATTTGTAAAACATTCAAGTATTCACTTCATTTTGTTTTGAAAAAAATAAGCAAAATGTGTTGTTATTACGCAAAACATTGCCCACAAATACATTTGTATTGCTCTAAAACGCTGAAATGGCATTTTCAAGGCTCTGAAATTCAAAAGGGAGACCTCAGACCCCCATGTGCGGAGCGCCTCGGACGTTTTATGACTGATGTTTGAAAAATCCTAGATCCGCCCCTGGTTTAACATATGTTTTGTTTGCAAAACCTTTTGACATAAAATTTCACCTACTTAAATTACTAACAAGGCTACGCTAGGATAATGTAAAATGCACTAATGCTCAATTTATATGTGCGCGTTATAAAATTTGCATCAGTTGATAAAAAAGGTCTAGTTTTCGGCAAGTTTAAGTGAATTAACATTCATTTCCTATGATAACTTTCATAGCAGACACAAGAATATCGACATTTAAAGTGCTTTATCGCCCTCAGGGAATTTATCTATTTAGACAGAGTTGACTATTTTAACAACATTTTAAATATATTTTATAAGACGAAAATTTGATCTTCCTTGACTTTTTGGGCGTCAAATATAGGTTTTTTCCTGTTTGACTGCGAGGTGCTGTGGCAGGATCTAGCTCACTGACGTAGCGCACATTGAAGAGCACGCTGCTTTTCAACGCCGGTTTATGTAAAATTTGTAGCAAAGTCAAGAAATTTGTTTCTTATGCAATATATTTTTCAGTCGACATCTTTCCAATGTTGCAACAAAGAAGATTCAGGTATAACATCATTGTTAGCTTTTATGCATGGAAAGCCAAATGCACATTAGTATTGAGTTGCAGTGTTGTTGACATCACTCTCATTCATGTAATGAAGTATTGTATAAATAATTGTAGTGTATTCTATATACCATTTTATATAAAATTTCAATTCAGCATTTTCTGATTTAATGGGGAAAGTAATAAACAATCAAAGGTGTGTTAAGCCTATTTCCTTTAAATTTATTGATCCTATTGCGGCTTTCCATTAAATTTAGTGAAAAATAGTAAGGCTATTTCCTCAATGATGGCAAGTCTGATTATATAGGAAAGCAGAATTTAGAGAATATTTGTAAGCCTCCTTGTACACTTTTGTTTCAATCAGTCTAACATATAATTGTTTGTGCTTCAATTCTGTTATGTTTTCATGTAGTCTTTCCAAAAACATAACATATAATGATGAGTTCTCTTTTGTGACATAATCAACTCATTTTTAAAGGACAAAATAACATTCCTCAATATATACTGCATGTTGAGCAACATACTGCTATGCTAGAATCAAGGTGGAAATCTCAAAAGCAAAATAGCTTGGATACCTAAGCCAGCACAACTCAATAGAAACCACACTGGAAGGAAAAATGCTTAAGGCAAAGAAACTACAGTTTAATTTTAAATTGGAATTTCGATAACTTATAAAATAGCAGTTTCATTATTCCAATAGAAAATAGGATTCTTGTTGAACGTAAAAGACACAGCAAAAAAATCAGTCTCCAATTGCAAATAAATTGAATACTACAGCATTTCTTCTAAGAGTGGCTTCTTGTTGAGACCTTCAACTTAGTGCTATCTATGAATTTAAATCTAGTACTGCCAGTGATCCACAAAGAGTAACTTTCCACCTCTTGTGCCATAGCAATTTGCTATTTTGGAATTAAAAAATGCTTTCTCAGTCTAAAAAAAAATGTAATGCAAAACTGAGACAGCAAGGTGATATTTTCTTTAACTAACATAAAAAGTGGAATATAGGTACTTATAACTAAATTGCACTAGTTAGGAGTGTTAGTAAGTTAACCACAAAACTTGCTACCTATTCATATAAATTTTGCTAGCATCTTTAATAGTTTCCCTTTTGGAACAACTAATTAAAATATTAAATCATATATAAAACTAAGAGCTTTCATAGATTATAGAAGATCTAGACAGCTAAGTTTTTGAAGTTTTGATAGAATTATACATGCTTGAACAAATAAAGAGAGTTTGATCAGTAGCAAAGCCAAACGGCAAGTTTTAGTCAAGCTATGTAAATTTCAGATCATCATCATTACTCATTTCTTTAGAATCTATTGCACCAGTGAGTGAATACATAAAAAATTAAATAGAAAGACGAGCTGGTTGATCATTAAAATCGACCAGTTTATAACACCAATAAAATATTATCAATTATAAGACTTTATGTTATACCTCAGGATTATAACTGACGACCGTCTTGTAGATGTTCTGAACATTAAGCATACAACCATAATTCACCATGAATCGCAAAATAAGTAAAATATGTTGCCAAATTTTCGAATTCCGTCCCAAAATGTCTTCA